AAACCACAAATAAGAGAGTTATGGCCCAAGCCAGCCTACGCATAAAGTGAGGTCTATCTCAAAAAAAACCAACACAAAAAGGACTGATAGAGTGGCTCAAGTGGTAGAGCACCTGTCTAGCAAGGAGGAGGCCCTGAATTCAACCCTCAGTACCTCAAAAAAAATTTTTTTTTTTTGTGGCACTCAGGAAATGAAGGAAGGAGGACTTGAGAGTTCAAGTCCAGCCTGGGGTTGCATAGCTAGTCAAAGATTTCCTGAGCTCAAAAAACTAAGGGCTGGGGCTGTAACTCAGTGATAGAGTGCTTGCCTAGCATGCTCAGGGTCCTGGATTCAATCCCTAACACCCATTTAAAAAATTGTTAAAAAGTGATCACTTTCATAGTTATGTATTTAGTCCACATATAATTGGTTTTGTGTAGTGTGGAGTGAGTGTGTGTGTGTGTGTAGGGGGTTCAGTTTCTGTTTTTTGTTTTATTGAGTATTCTGTTTTTTCATTCTCATGACCTCTTAAGTGTCATATGTCTGTGGATATGCTTTGAAGCTATTCTTTCTTTGACCTATTTATGTATCCCTCCCCCACAATCTCATTTATTGAACAGAGTTGTACAAAGAACCTTGATATCTGAGAGAACAAGTCACCACCCATGTTTCTTTCAGAACTAGACTTTTCAAACTTTCATGTGTTTTGTTTTGTTACATTGTTTTAATTTTTTTCTTTTTTCTAAAGTAAACTTGTATTTGGATTATAGTGTGTTATTTAATTCATAAATATCTACTGTAATCACCCGAGGTCACAAAAAGTACTGAGGCTACTCCAATGTAAAGTATATCAAGTTATCTTTAGTTTTTACACATTTTATCCTAACTTAAAAGAATTAATTTTAACTTGAAAAGTAAATATAGGATTTTCACTTTAGGAACGGAGTACAATGAGGTGTTTGGAGCAGGGTTTACACTGAAAACGCTAAGAATGCTATATTTAAAAAGCAATTCAAAAAGTAGGACTTAACATGCTGAAATCTAAGAGAATGTTGAAAATAGAGAGTAAAGGAGCTCTTAAGTCCTGTTTATTCTGAGGATATTTGCCACACTAGGGGAACTTGCGGGATTTGAGTAGGTGCTTGGTATATTTGCAGTGCTCCTAGAGTAGTTGGAAGTCAGCCCAGGGCTCATTCACTGTAAGTGAGATGTTCTGCCCCAAATTCTGGAATCTTAAAGGGCTGTTTTGTTACAAAAAAAGTGAAAAAATCACTCTACATTTTTCAAAGAACTGCAAGGAAAGCTGCTTTGATGCCAAGTAAAATATAGAGGAAGACAACCTGTTCTTGGGAAGTTGTGAACACCAAATAGATCATGGGGGAAGTTTACCTTGGCAGCCTAAAAAATTTTTTAATTTATTAACTTTTAAAAAAAAATCTAATTCACATACCATGAAATTCACCCCTTTAAAGTACATAAATCAGTGGTGTTTCATATATTCATGAAGTAGTACAATAATCACCAGTGTTTGGTTAAAGAACTATCTCTTCACCCCTCACAAGAACCATTTTACCCATTTCCTATGGATTTCCCTATTCTGAACATTTCATATGAATGGAATAATTTATTATGATCTTTAGTGTCTCACTTCTTTAACATAGCATAATGTTTTCAAAGTTTATCCATGTGCTAGCTTGAATCAGTGCTTCATTCCTTTTATAGTTGAATAATATCTCACTGTATGGACAGATATTTACTGTCATTTATTTTTCCATTCATCAATTGCTGGACGGTTGTTTCCAGTTTCTGTAAAAACTCTAACATACTCATCGAACCACATCTCTAATCCTGGTCAGCTTGCAAATACTTAACATTAATCATTAGAGGAATGTGGGAGGATTGGTTAATAATAAGGCTGCTATGAACATTTGTGTTCATGTTTTTGATGAAAATATGTTTTCCATTCTCATAAAACAGGAGTGGAATTCCCGGGTCACATGGGTGTGAGGTTTTTGAGGGGCTGCCAAAGTGTTCTTTGCAAAGCAGCTACACCAGTTTATATTCCTATCAGCAGTGTATGTAGGTACCAGTCTTTCTATATCCTCACCAATATTTATATTTTATTCCTTTCATATCAGTGTAGGTGAATGATGCCTCATTGTAGTTTTGATTCACATTTTTCCAGTAGTTATTGATGCTGACCCCCTTTTCATATGTTTATTGACCATCTGCCTATCTTTGCAGAAATATTGAAATCCTTCACCCACGTTTAATTGGGTTGTTAATACATGATCCAGTAAACATTATGATCTGGTGAACAAATACAAATATTTTCTGGAGGAGTATGCTTTCATTTTGGCTTTAAAAGGATCTTCCAGTAAAGTTTCATGGTCAATGAATAAACTAAGATAACCAAGGGCACAAAGGAATAAGAAGCTTGAGCAAGAACCAGCAGAAACAATAATTAGAAACAAACCCACAAGAACTTGAATTACCAGTCATGAATTATTAAAAAAAACTATTCTGAACTGTGTTCAAGTGTGTGTAATTTTAAGACACAAAATCTGTCACAAGTTGTTATAGTAGCAATAAGAAATTAATGCAGTAGCTAATCTACTAGAAAGAAAAAATGAAGATCATAAACAGTCATTCCAAAAGAAGGTGTGACAGGAATGTAAAGAAACAGAACAAGAAGGACAAATAGAAAGCCTAGTAAAATGGTAGATTCAAACTCAAAAATATCAGTTACCTTAAATATCTACAAATGGACTTAAATACTCCAATTGAAAGATAAGATTCTTAATCTGGAGTAAAACACTAACTTAATGCTATTTATAAGAGAAATATCTAAAATATGTAAAGGTTGGTAAACTGAAAACAGTAAACAGATGGAAAAAGATATTCCATGTAAGTACTATCCAAAAGAAAACTACATAGCTTTATTACTATCAGGCAAAATAAATAGTAGTTATTTTTAACCAACACTCTCATATTCCTCTCATGATTAATATTAAGTACTTGCAAGCTGACTAGGATCAGAGGTGTGATTTGATGAGCATGTTAAGTTTTTATAGGAGATTATTGTTCCTTGTCTACCAGTTAGAGTTACTGAGTGCCAACTATAGTCTCAGCACCATACAGAATGCCAAGTGTTGAGCAGAAAGTGAGTACAATATTGTTTATGTTTTAGCGTGGGAAATAGAACAAGTTTTCATGAAATGTCAAGAAAAATACTAAACTTTAAAAAAATTACAACAGACATTTAGATATAACAGAAAATTAGTTTGATCTGAGTGGTTAAAGAAAGTATCCTCTAATATACTGGACTTTGAAAATGTATAAATTTTAAAAATAGACATCAGTCACAAGATAAGACAGAGAAGATGCCATTTATGATAGCCAAGCAAATTAGAGGCATACCGCATAAAAAATGTTAAGAATTTAACATTCTAAAGGCACAAAAATAGACTTTAGCAAATGTAAAGTGGTACCATGTTCTAGGTAGGAAGACAATATTCTTAGATGTCAGTTTTTCTACAATAATTTTGACATTTAACATGATCAACTGAAGAAAATAGAAAATACAGAGATTAACCCAAATGTATATGGAAATTTAATGTTGTAATAAAGGGAACATCCTAATATCAGTAGAGAAAACATGGAATTTTTAAATATGTGGTATTTGTGATATTGGTATAACCAACAGGGAAAAGATGGGTTTGGATTCATTTCTCATATTGTACACCAAAATGTCAATATAGACAATGACAGCATATTAAGCACTAGAAGAAAATCTAGGTAAATTATTATGACCTATAATGGGGAAAACTATAACTCAATCCAGAAGCAAAAAGGAAAAACATAGATGAGTATGATTACATATGGATATGTGCTATGTTTATACATCCAAAGTGCTCCAAAACTAGAAAGTTTTGAGTGCCACCATGATGCCATGAGTAGAAAAGTCCATGAAACTTTGTTTCATGCACAGAATTACTTCCAGGTATATTCGATGTGCATGAAACACAAATGAATTTCATGTTTAGACTTCTTTCCATCCACAAGTTACCACATTATATATGTGCAGATATTTCAGAATAAAAAATTTGCTTTTGATCCCAACCATTTCAGATAAAGGATACTCAATCTGTCTATGTGTAGATGTATGTCCTATATTTACATACACATATACATACAATTTTGCATAGCAGAAAACACAATAAAGTAAAAAGACAAATGACAGGGCACAAAAAATAAAAAAAGACAAATGACAGACTAGAAGCATGTTTACCACTTATCTGATGGACAATGAGTTAATCTCCAAAATACATAGAGTTTCTAGAGCTAGTGAAGAAAAAGACTAATGACTTTATGAAAAGAACAGCAGGAGATAATGAACATAGAGAATTCATAGAAACAAATGAGCTTTATATTAAAAGATGCTCAGTGTTACTTATAATAAAAGAGATGCAGATTAAAATCAACAAGGTAATAATTTATTTCCTATCATAATGGCAAAAGTCTGGCATTTGGACAACACATTTTGTTGGTGACAGATAGAGGTACATAGCTATTGGGAATGTGAAATGGTATCACTTCCCAGGGAAATTTAGCAATACAAGCAAAATTACAAGCAAAATACACCTTTTGACCCAGTAGTCCTAGATCTTACAGATCTGATAAGTATCTGTATTTATATTTATAAAGAGTTGCTATTTCTAATAGCAAAAGATGCAGCAGCAATCCAAATTTTGATCTTGATTCCAACAGAACAACTATAAAAAATTGAAGCCATAGGGGACACGTAATCACTGAGTAGTTGCTTATGTTAAATTTTTTGTATGTGGTAATGCTATTATGATTATGTATTTTTTAAAAAAGAGTATCTTTTAGAAACATTTGGTATGTTATAATCCATTACAGATGCTGTTTGTTTTAATGTTTGAAATGACCAGTCTTCACCCAATGAGAAACTCTCAAAGTTAACTCCTGAGTCCTGCCACAAATTTTAGGGATTACTACTTGAGTATTTATGGATAGAATGATATGATTGGGATTTATTTCAAAATAACCCAAAGGACAAGGTAAGTGGAAGGTAAAGATGAAAAAAGTTTGCTATTAGTTGATAATTGTTTGCGTGATTTGGGTTTTGTGGTCCTGTATTCTTTTGCATATGTTTAAAATTTCCCACAAAGAATTGTATGGAGTTTAAGTAGGTATAAATGAGGAGAATCTGGGTGGAACAAAGACATTGAGACCAGGTGGGAAGTTGGACATAAAATTCTTACAAACTTTATTCCTGGTAAATATAAAACATGCCCCCTTCATTTGCACTGCCTTATTTGTGTGTGTGTGGGGGGATAAGTATGATACAGTTTTTAAGATATACTTTTGTTGGTATAACTAAAGATTAAAATAATTCACAAAGTATAAACTTATTTGTTTATTGGCTCAATATACACGCTTTTTATGGGAGCCATATTTTCTTTCAAATTTTGCTTGGACATATATTATGTATATCAGGTGTAAGAGAAGATTGAGAATGGGATTTTTCTTTGTCAGATTTTAGCATTGAAATTACTCATTTAGCAATTTCATCAAAATTACATATGGGAACAAAATTCTGTCTTCCTCTTAAATATTTGCTGCAGAGGCTTCATTATGTCTTAGAAAGCCAAATAATATAATTATTTGGTGAATATCTAATGAGGGTAATCTTAATTTGCTTTCTTTTCTATCAACAGGTTGATATTAAAATTGGAAGTTTGCTGAATATTGGAAGTTGAATGTAATGGCAGCAGAATTCATAAAGAGTTGCTGTAGAGGGTGTTTCTATGGTGAAACAGAAAAGCAGAAGTGTGAGTTCTGTTTTGATTTCAGTAAACATTTACTTAGTGCCTTTGTTTATGGCATTTTATAAAGATATTTTGTAACTTTGCGGGAGAGACAGAAACAGAAGGCACACTAGGTCAGTATCCCAGAACTCCCAAGTACTCTGGAGCATAGGAGAGAGAAATGAATTCAACCCAGGAGACACCCTGGACATCATCATAAAAAAACCATGGAATTTGCCATGGGAACTTGAATAGGATTTTAACAAGCTGGATAGGAAGGAAGAAGGAAGTAAGAGAATGTGGGAGTTAGACAGGTAGGTGGACTAATATAGGGAGAAGTGTGTCTGGGGACAAATACATTCTCACAAGTGTTTTGATATAGAGAAAATTTCCAGTTCATATACTGTAGATTTAAAAATGTCTTTGATGAATGAATGACCAGTTGGGAAGAAACTTAACTTTATTGAGATCCACATTTATTAATGGCCCCCTCAAGAAAGCTATTGCATGGTTTTTTTTATCTCTTCAGGGTATGACTGGAACTTTATTTTTCTTTGGCTCTTCTATTTCTTAGTGTAGGGCAGAGATTCCTAGCATGTGTGAGTATTTTCTGGTGTCAGTAACAGTACCACTGAGTATTACAGACTGGGTAAGTTTTAATGAAAAGAGGTTTATTTTGCTTATAGTTCTGGAGGTCCAGGCCAAGGGGCTGCATCTGATGATGACCTTCTTGCTGGCAGAATCCCAGTGCAGTTCAGGGCATCACATGGTGAAAAACAGGGAGTGAACATGTGTGTCATGGTTTCTTTTCCTCTTATAAAGCTACTGGCATTCACTCATGGAGGCTCCACCCTGATGGCCTTAATCTAATCCTAATAGCCTCACAAAGTCCCTACCTGGAAACACATAGTAAGTTTCCACCCTCTTAATACTTCGTAATAGGGATTAAACTTCAACATATCAAGTCTTGGAGGCACAAACCACATCCATGCCATAGCAGAAAAGCTTTTTTTTTTTAATTAAAACATTCCACAAATTCCTGTATGATCATACTTACATTTTCATTCACTCTACAAGTAAACATACATAAAGACTGACTGTCTCTTACCTTCCCATCTTAAATTATACAGTTTAGGAATCCCATATTCTAGAGGATGGGCAGAATGCGCAACAGAAGCTAGGACAGAGTTGCTACTATGATATACATCTAGAGTCTGCATTTTATTTGTTTTTTGATTTGGTAGAGATTTTTGTAGACTTGGAGACCTTAGCTTCTTCTCAGAACTGATGTATATATTTAAGACTCGTGTTAACCAATAACACTGACAACAAGAATTGCTTTGTTGATAGTTTTTTTTTAATGACTAAATTTTTTACTTGAAAATATTATGAAAATAACTAAATTTGCTTTTCATCAATAACTCTTAGGGGAATGAAACTCTTTTAAAGAGTTTCATTATCTTATTATGATAAGATAATGTACTTTGATAATAATGTGCTAATTGCTCAAACATTAGCTGGCTAAAATGAATGTAGATTACAGAAGTTCTTGACCCAAGAATAGTTATGTACCAGAAATCTTTCTAAAATGATTGAATAAGTATCAAGATATTTCAGGTTTAAGTTATTAGTGTAACTTATATGCATATTTATGACTTTTTTCTACTTTCCCTTTTTCTTCTTTTATATGCAGTTTCTGTGGAAAGAGACTTTAGAACAACAGTCTCAAATAGCCAAAATACTACTATATGTATACCTCCACTGACTGCTGTTTCTATAAAGCCTCAGGTTGGCTGTTCTGAGGATTATTTGCTTTCTAAATTACCATCTGATGGCAGAGATGTACCATTTGTAGTGCCCAAGTTTAAGTTATCTTATATTCAGCCCCGGACACAAAGAACTCCTTCACATCTGGAAGAACTCGAAGGTAAACAATGAAATGGCAGGACTTAAAAATCAGCATGCCACATTCAAATGTTGTTATTGCTGTTATTTTTCTCTTTATATCTTTAATATAACATTTCTATTAAAAATTTGTATTTTGCTTTTTTTGTGTCTTCTCTTTCTGTAGAGAGGCTTAATGTATAGTATTTTTGAAATATCCCATTCTGAAATCTGGCCACAGTATAATACGTTTGTCTGTAGGTTTAGCTTTTTTTAAAAGGGATAATTTAATTATATACCTCAGTTATCCTTCACAAATCTAGAAAGAAAAGGTAAAGGAATTTGATCAGTAAACATAGAAATAAGTATAGTTTCTTTTCTACTATTTTCTAATATTTGGTACAATGAAAAGTAAGGAACAATCAAGCAGTCTTTCTTCCTTTTTTTTCTTACCCCATCTGTACTTCCCAGACTAAATGGCTACGTGAAGGAGGAAGATTCATTGACTGAAATTTGGCTGATGTAGTAGAGGTCAATGGGCTAATGAAGACAGGATGAAATGACATGTAGCTCTTATTTTTAAAAAATAATTTGTGTTTCCCCCCCCCCTAAATTTTTATTAGAAAAGTTGAAAGAACTTAACAGTGATACCTGTATGTCCATCACTTAAATTCTCCCGTTAACATTTTACTCTACTTGTTTTATTACATATCTATTTACCTACCCATCCTTCTGTCCATTACTAAGCCTCTTTTCTGGCAGTGAATAAAGGGATGCATTTTTTAATAAATTGAAGCTGTCAATATACTTACCTCTAAATACTTAAATATGTATATCATTTGCCAAAGGTCAGTGATCTGCTTACAGTTTTCTTCTTTTGACATAAATCTTATACATAATGAGCTGTCCAATATATGTTTATTGAATTCTGTGTATATTTGTTGAATTTCAAGTGTATATTTGCTGAATATTGACAAAAATATATATAACAGTGTATTCCAAACATCTGTTAAGTCCTGGAATATTTGTCCCCCAATTTTTTTTTGTTCTATCCTCTCCCTCTTCTAGGATTCAAATTACATATATTTTTACCTTTGATAGTATTCTGTGGGTTGCTGAGACTGCTCATTTTTTCCCTCATTTTTCTTTCTTTTCTTTAATAATTAATAATTAATAATTGGTCTATTTTCAAGTTCATGGTCTTTTACCGCCATTATATCAATTCTGCTGTTAAGCCTAGCTAGTAAATATTTCATTTTAGACATTGCAGTTTTCAATTCTAAAGTTTATATTTAGTTCTTTTTTATAGATTTTATTTCTTTCCTATAATTTCCTATTTTTACATTATTGCAAGCCTATTTTCTTTTATTGAACTATTGATTGCTAATTGTGACATCTAGGTAATGGGGATTTAGGTTTTGTTGATTACCTTTTGTTTTGTTTTGTTTTTGAGAATGGATCACATTTTTCAGTATCTTTGTATTTGGAGTAATTTTGGATTGTATTCTGGATATTAATTGTTATGTTGTGGAGATTAGATTTGGTTACATTAATTTGAGATGTTCTCTTCTCTCTCTGTGCCCTCTCTCCATCCTTTCTTCCTTCCTATTTCCTTTTTTCCTTCCTCCTTCCTTCCTCCCTCTCTTCCTCCTTTTCCCATTAGACATGTAATTTGGTTGAACTTAGACTACATACTCTTTCTTGGGTAGCAGCCCTTGCTTGTGGTTCAGAAATCAGCCAGACATTTGAACAGACTTTCTTCACAGAATTTGAGACTCTCTTCTTTCCAGGATTCCCACCTTTCTTTCCAACAGCTCTGGTTGCCTGGAATGTTGTACTCTGATTTATCTGCCAGTTTGCAATTGGAGTTTTATACACCCTGCATGGTGTGAATTTTGGCCTGCACTCAGGCTGAGTCATCAAAAACAGATAACTCGCTTTGTGCCATTACCTTTTCCCTAAGAGTAACTCCCATCCAAAATCTGCACTACTTTCTTTTACTCTTCAGGGCCTTCAGAGATTTTGCTTGTTTTGTTTTTGCCCCAGAGTGTATTATTATCTGTAGGAGAGTTTGGATCTGGTAGGAATGTTTTTTTTTAAAGAAAGATGGAAGAATGGACTTACCATCTTATTTTGCATATGTCAAATGTCTCTCAAAAATAGTTTTAAAATATTCTGTCTCACAGGGTACCCTGAGCAATTGATCTTTTTCTTTCATACTTGTCAACAACATTGGGATTAAACTGTACAAGCAGCCTCAGAATCCTTTTTATTCATGTCATAAACTGTGGATGTGTTTTCATTTTCATTGCTTTTAATAGGTCCATAGTATTTCAGCACATGAATGAATCATAATTTATTTAGTAATTCCCTATTTTAAGACATATAGGGTGTTTTGTATATTATTTTCATAATCAGGAAAAAGTAAGAAATATCTAGAAATATACAGTAGTTTTTCCTTTGTTTTTCTCATTGTACTCACTACAAAACAAATTGCATTTTGAATTGAGTGGGTAAAAAATTATAGGTTTATTACAATATTGTGAGCCCATCTAATTTTAACATATCGGAGAGAAAATTCTATTCAAGAAGAAAGTTCTCTTGGAACCTAAACATACTCAAGTATGTGTATTTTTGTATGCATATATGCATTGAATATGTAAGTGATGGTCTGAGATGGAGAAGAAAATTTTGAGAAGACAGATCACTGTCATAGTGACTAAAATTGTATTTCAAATATTAGAGGTTTGTTTTGTTGCATTGTTTACTTGCCAATGGGTCTGGTTACAACTGTACCTCGGTGCTTAAATACAGATTTTACCATTAACGTTTGCTGTTCTTTCTCTACCACATATCTTCTACCTACTTTTCAAGAGCATGCATTTTGAATTAAATTTTTTTAATATGGCTTTTGAGAAATGTACATATCATATATTTTGCATTTTGTTTGTTTTTGGTAGTACTGGGGTTTGAACTCAGGGCCTTACGCTCACTAAGCAGGCTCACTACCACTGGAGCCATGCTCCCAATCCCTACATAAAATTTTACAGCACTGTGGTTTAGCAAACAGAGAGGAATTTCACTTGGGTCTGAGAAATGATATCACTATATAGTATATGAGGGGAAAATTGGAATTCTCTCATGATTTACTAGTATAAAGGAAAAATGAAATGAGAATGCTATATTCTTTTTTAAGGGATGGCTTGTAAAGGTAGTGAGTCATCTTTGGTGATACTGCCCTTGAAAGAGTTCTTACTAATGGTCAGTGCTGCCCTTGTTACTATAAACAAAGACAGTTCTAGCAATGCTTGTGTGCTGAATGATTCAAGTGTTAGCTTATAAGGGATGCAGATAATGGCTCTCAGACATCACAGCTCCTTCTTGGCACTCTTCTGCCTGTGTGCTGAACTTGGATTATACACAGTGTTATTTGAGCCAGGATAAAGATTAAATCACACCTTATGCTCCATATTTTATTTTTCTTTTCTGAACTCAAGGTTAAATTACTTGTTTTATTGTTTAGCGTTAAGTCAGAAAATACCAGTTAATACTGTGTGTTCTATTTAAAGTGGGACAAAAATAATTAAAAGATGACAATAATTCAAACCTTTTTTTTGGCAGTACTGGAGTTTGAACTCAGGGTCTCATGGTTTCTAGGCAGGCACTCTACCACTCTAGCCACTCCACCAGCCTCTGTTCTGTTCTAAATGATATACAGTAGTGTTTCTGTGTAGCCTACTGTAAGATCTTCTATCTTATTGTTTTTATTGTTTATGGACATTTGAGTTTTTCCAGTTTTTGGCTACTATGAATAATGGTACTTACAAACTTGTGCATGTCTCTTAGTGCACATGCACAGCAGTTTTAGCTGTGTCTATGTTGGAATGGCATTGTTGGGCCATAGGGTATAAGCATTTCAGCTTTAGTAGAAATTACCAAATTGTTGTTCAGTGACTGTATCAGTTTATGTCCCTCCCAGCAGAATACAGTAGTTCATATCACTTCACTTTCTTGTCAACACTTGCTATTGTGAGTCTTTTTAGTTTTAACCTTTCTGGTAAGTAGATAGTGGTATATTGTTGGGGTTTTAGCTCACATTTCTCTCATGATGGTCTTTCTTCTGCTGTGCCTATGCAAATCATGAATCAATCTATATAAAGGCTTATCTGTCCTTTTCTTACTAATTTGTAGGGGTTCCTCATATATTCTGAATATGAGCTCTTTGCCAGTTACATTTGTTGCACATTTCCACTCTATGGGTTTTCTTTTTACTCTCTAGTCTTTTGACAAATAATAATTTAAAATTTTAACATAGCTAAAATATTTTTGTGATTAATGTGTTCTATATTCTATTTAAGAAGTGCTTCCCTGTCCTAAGATTGGGAAAGCTTTCTTATAAAGTAACTTTGTCTAGAAACTTTATTGGTTTGCCTTTAACATTTAACTTAGACCTACCACCTCATGGAATTAGCTATTTATGAATGTATTTAGTTAAATGAAGTCTTTTTTTCCCATACCAATATCTAGTTGTTTTAACACCTTAGTGAAAAAGACCATCCCTTCCTCACTGATATGTAGGGTCACCTTGATTATATATAAAGTGTCCATAAATAGATATCCCTTTCATGGGCTTCCATTCTATGCCATTGATCTATTTTTCTATCATTGTGCCAAAATTCTTAATACCCAGTAGAGCAAATATTTCAATTTTGGTTATCTTCTTAAAGATTATCTTTTTGGCTATTCTTGGTCCTTAGTGTTTCCATAATTATTTTCTATTCATCTTTTTGTTACTTGATTTCCAACTTAATTGCATGTGGATAAAAAAGTACTTTGCATGACTTCAGCTCTTTCAAATATGAGAGATGCTTAGTTTATCTCAGTGTGTGGTTTATTTTTATAAATGTTCTGTGTCTTCTTTGAAAGGGTATATCTCCAAAAAAAAAATCTTTTCATTTAAAAGATGTCCTATATGTAAGTGGAAAAGTCAAGGAAACTCAAATCATAAAGTACACAATTGTCTATAGAGCAAAGAAAAATGGCCCAGATTTACCAGACTGTTTTAAGATGAGAGTGCCTGTTGATGCATTACATAATACTTGGTACAATTAGAACCGTATAAACATGTGCTGATTTTTTTTAGTTATTAAAGGAAAGTGATTTTGTATTGCTTGAAACAAATATGAGATGTTGGCTTATAATATGATGAAAAGGATATTGTAAAATGTTAAAAACATTTGCTTTCAGGATCTGCCAGAGCATCTTTTGGAGATCGAAAGGTAGAACTTTCTGGTTCATCCCAGCATGGGCCCAGCTATGATGTCTATAATCCATTTTATATGTATCAGCACTTTTCACCTGACTTGAACCGGCGCTTTCCTCCTCATTCGGAAGCCACAAGACTGTATGGATCGGGTATGAAATTTTTTTTTGCTTCTCCTCTGTGTTTCTTTTTAACAAATTTAGAAATCAAATTAAATATAAGACCCTGGCAGAAATGATTTTTGTGTGTGGTACTGAGTTTTGAACTTAGGGCCCCATGCTTGCTAGGTAGGTGCTCACTTGAACCATTCCAATAGCCCAGAAATGATTCTTATTATTAAAAACAGTTTTAAAATAGGAGAAAAGCAGGCTTCATAAATGCTGTGATAGGGCTGGCAGACGGGCTCAAGCAGTAAGAGCACCTGCCTAGCAAATGTGAGGCCCTGAGTTCAAACCCTAGTGCCACCAAAAAAAGATGTACGTGCCATGAAAAGCATCATGACTTCTCTGTGGTATTATAATTAATGTAAAAATTGAAAGATTAATGCATTAGTAGTTCCAAATTCCATTTAAGTCTTATTTTGAAAGTTTTGCTTTTACATTATTTTGTACATTTTATGTATTACCTATTAGTAAATTCTACAAGCTATTTATAAGCTTTTTTCTTCTCTGTTCTAATAAGTTTAATGAATGAGAAATCATAAGGTGATTAGGAATATAAAAAAAATAGAAAATCCTTAAGTAATTATAGAATGTTTTAGTTTGATATTTGAGATTATATCAGTTATAGGCTACCTTGTATGTCTCCAATTCATAAAATTCTCACTGTTTTTCTAGTTTTTGAATATATATGCCAAATATATATACATATACATATATATCAACATATACATATACATATAAATCAACCACTACTGTTTACTTAAGGACCTGCCTGCCTTGTGCTCACCACTGAGCACTTGGTATGCAGAGGTCCTTTCTTCAAGGATCTTATAATTTAAAAGGGACACTAGAAATACAGGAACACGTGGAAGTTCAGAATTGATCTTTTACATGATATGTGCTCATTAAATAGTAGTTGAATTATATTCAGCACGGAGTGTTTGCATTCTCTTATTCTTCTCAGATGAAGAATTGGGGAATGTAAGCAAAAACCTGTTTGGTGCTTGATGTGGATCTGAGTGTTTGATTTCTGTTAGTTCTGTTTCAAACCAAAGGAAAATAATTGAAGAAGAAATGTTTTAGATTGTATCAGAAGACTTTTTTTATATCAATTTTCATATAATGTTCATGATGTGTTCCCATAGAAATTTAGCTTCTGGAAATTAGGTGGAATCCCAGTGTTTCATTTTCTTTACTATAAAATACGTACTTTTTCTTGTCTTTTGTAGTTTGTGATTTAAGAACCAGCAAACTTCCTGGCTCCCCTGGGCTAAGCAAATCTATGTTTGATCTGACAAGTTCATCTCAGCGATTCATTCAGGTGAAGTAGTTATATAAATTAAATTATATGTGATTTTTTTTTTCAGGTTAAAAATTCAGAAATGTGTGAATTACATCAGGAATAATGTTCTTTGGTTTTGGTGGAACTGGGGTTTGAACTTAGGGTTTTGTGCTTGTAATGCAGATATTCTTCCACTTGAACCACAACCCCAGTCCATTTTTCTCTGGCTGTTTTGGAGATGAGGTCTCCCAAACTATTTGCCTGGGCTGCCCTTGAACCTCCATCCTCCTGATCTCAGCCTCCCATGTAGATAGGACACAGGTGTGAGCCATGGGCGCCCAGCTGAATAAAAGTGATTTCTTGTGAATCTATTCTAATAGCTGAAGAATAAATACTTGACACTTCCCATATGCATTATTTTAGGAACTTCTCAGTTAACAAATAAAAGGCAGTGTTTTTTTGTTTGTTTTTCATGAATTTTGTAGCTCTCAGTTGGTATGTACTTAAGGAATCTTGATGCAGTTGGAATTTAAAATAGTATAGTTAAAAAGTGCTTTTGAACATTCCTTATTGAACATAACAGATAGTTACCAAAAAGTTAGTATTTCCATTGAGATATAGAACTTTAATATTTCCTGATATTAATACAGTATTCTGTTTTTAAAATGGAATGAGAATTTTTTGATACTTTAAAAAATGCTTCATTTTTAGTGCAAGTATACTGTAACTACTTAAAATTAGGAAATAGAGATAGCAAAGTAAACAGACAAACCGTCTGCATTCCTCTAGGTAAAAGCATGGCACTATGAAATGTTTGTATGTGCACTGTGGACTGTGCTGTGGACCTGCGCTGTGAGTGTTTGCATTTTCTTATTCTTCTCAGATGAAGAATTGGGGAATGTAAGCAAAAACCTGTTTGGTGCTTGATGTGGATCTAAGTGTTTGATTTCTGTTAGTTCTGTTTCAAACCAAAGGAAAATAATTGAAGAAGAAATGTTTTAGATTGTATCAGAAGACTTTTTTTTAATGTCAGTTTTCTTATAATGTTCATGATGTGTTCCCATAGAAATTTAGCTTAGCGGAGTGGGTGGTAAGGGAGGGGGTGGGGGCAGGGGGGAGAAATGACCCAAGCCTTGTATGCACATATGAATAATAAAACAAAAAAAAAAGAAATTTAGCTTACATTAATGTGAATGTAGATGTATGTATATGTTTTATGAAGTGGAAATATATTCTAAGTTATATTTAATAATTCTCACTTGATTTTTTTTTTCTTTTTTTTGGTGGTATGGTATTTGAAGTCAAGGCCTTGTGCTTGTTAGGCAGGCGCTCTACCATTTGAGCTACAACCCCAGCCTTTTTTGCTTTTTGGTATTTTTCCAATAGGGTCTTGCATTTATGCCTAGGCCTAGCCTGGACTTCAGTTTTCCTATTTACTCTTCCTTCATAGCTGGGACGACAGGTGTGGGTTACCATGGCCACTTTTTATTGGTTGAGATGAGGTCTCACAAACTTTTTTTGTCCTATCCTTGAACCTCGATCCTCCAGATCTTCGTTTCCCAAGTAACTAGGATTACAGGCCTGAGCTACCACGCCTTAATTTTTTATAGCAGCAGTCCTTTAACAAGCATCAGAATTGTTTGAAGACTTGCTAAAATGCACACTGCCAGGTCTCACTCCCCCATCCCAGAGTTTTTGTGGGGGAGCCTGACTTTTTATTTGTACCAAATACACAAGTGATGCTGCGCTGCTGGTGTAGAGGGACTATGCTTTGATAATACTGCTTTACAGATTTTTAGGTAACTGGGAACTTCCAAATATATTCTGACTTGCATTAATGTTTAAATAGGAAATTTAAGAAGTAATCTCTTTTTATTTTAAAACCAAACCAAAAAGACTTTCCAATAGGTTGTCTAATAAGATTTAAGATTTTCCCGATAATTTGGATGTGAGGACAATCTGGTTGCAACATGTCACCCCATTGATTGCCAGGGTTGATTCAGCTGATGTGGCTGGCTAGCCAAGTGTCCCCTTCCTCCCTCACTGCTCCATGTGCATCCCTCCTGAAGCTGCATGCTCAGTGAAGAGGATGACCATCCCTGATAGAGAAGGACCATTCTTCCATCAAGGGTATACGGGTAGCTGACTCCCCTGCTAGAACCTCCAAACAAGCTCTCAAGATTTTCCCAATAACACACACAGAAAGCTTTTTTTTCCCTTCTATTATTTAAAAGTGTGGGCTGGGCATGGCAATGCACACCTGTAATCCTGGCTATTTGGGAGATGGAGATAGGAGGATGGCCATCCAAGGCTGGCCTGGACAGAAGCAAAAAAGCACAAGACCCTATCTGAAAAACAAACTAAAAGCAAAGAAGGACTGGTGTGGCTCAAGTGGTTGGGTTGAGCACTTACCTAGCAAGTGGGAGGCCCTGAATTCAATCCCCAGTACCACCAAAATAATAATAACAATGATGATGAAATTCTGACTGGTAACACTATCAAAATGATTAGCATGAAACTTGATACTAGGGTGGTTTGAGGGGGCATAAAAAGCAGAATCCTTAAAACTTGATATGCAGTTTCTGTAAAGAAGAATTTTATTTGCAGAGACACGATTCATTGTCCAGTGTACCCAGTAGTTCTTCAAGAAAAAGCTCTCAGGGGAGTAACAGAAGCCTGGGTAAGGAATAAAGCATCCCATTCTGATGCTCTCAAGCAAATTATTTCTACTCATTAGTAATTTGAAAGTGTGTATGATTAGGCAAAAAAATTGTACATGACTATATCTGTGTTGGCAGTATTACCAGCATATGGGTATTCAGATCAAATGGTTCATTTCTAGGTGTTCAGATAGGAATGAATCTTAAAAAAAAAAAAAGTGAAACTGTTAAATATCTTTTGTTTGTTTTCTTCATATGAATGAAGAAACTTCCAGAAGCATTTAGTACTAATGCCTTGTAATGTTACTTGGAAAGGTTTTTCTGAGTTTTAATTTAAGTTTCAGTTCCTCACAATCATTTGGTTAAGTTCTTAACCCATGTACCTTTTATAGTATTTTTTTTTACCCCTGGCACTTCAATAAAAACATAGGAGTGTGTTTTTGTCTTATTAAATTGTCTCATTGAATTGTCCTATTAATTTAGAAAATAATTATAGCATTTTTCAAGTGTACTTTTTAAATTGGATCTTATCAAAGCTTAATTGGGTTAGAAAGATTACATGAATCTTTGTCCTTTTACAATTCAGATACAATTACTCTATCAGGAGATGAAAGAGATTTGGGGAGATTGAATGTGAAATTGTTCTATAATTCCTCAGTAGAGCAGATCTGGATCACAATTCTACAGGTAAGTTGGTATAGTTAATACCAATTTTTATTACTAAATTGAATATTTAGACCTGTAAATATCTACTGTTGCCTTCCTTTGGGGAAGGGACCAATAACTGTCCTCAGAATTAGTATTCTATACTGTTTTGTAGAAGTTAGTATTTAATAAAGCATTTAAGAAAATAAATATGTAGTATGACAGAAGTATGTATGCTTTTAACTTTAGTAATAAAACTGATGTGAATCTACACTGTTTAAATGTCAAAATTATTTTAATGTGGATGAAGCATGAAGTTTTTTTGGTGGGACTAGGGTTTGAACAAACATGAAGTCTTAGTATATTAAAGTTTATATTTAGAATTGTTATCTAACATCATTAATTCAATAAATATATCAAATATTTGTACTGCCAGAGTGCTTTGTAAAATTCAAACTATACTTTTAATTTTTTTAGTGCAGAGATTTAAGTTGGCCCCCTAGTTATGGAGACACTCCCATAATTTCTATAAAAGGAATTCTGACATTGCCCAAACCAGTGCATTTCAAGTCTTCACCCAAGGAAGGTTCCAGTGTAAGTGGCTGTTTGTGTTTAAATTTCTTTTCTGTTTTTCTCATATTTTTCACTTTTATCTATGTAAAGAATGAGAATAAGAGAAAGTGTTTTATTTTAGAGAAACTAAAAATTATATACCCTTGCTTTTTTAAAGATAGTGTTAAGTCCCAAAATGAGTTGATATTTTATTGTTCAATATGAAGATGCATTTTAAAAGGAAATCCTAATCACTAAAATATATTAATAGTAACTAAGAAACCTATTTGCTTTTCTTATATAAAAGGAAGAAAAGTATATTTTCATCTTCTCTTGCCTCCACACACTTGATATTTGAAAAATAATTTCTGTACAGTTGCAATTAATCTCTTTTAAATGCTTTCAGTTACTATAATTGGAGGACTTAAAATCTTGAGTTTATTTTATAGATTCTTGTCTTCACATTAATGTAAATACATGTTCATTGTTGTCTTTTGGTATGGTTAAGAAGTTAAGTATCCTTAAAAGAACATATCATTTAAAAAGATAATTCAAATGACTAATAAACATGAAAATTGACTCTCATTATTAACATGGAAATACAAATTTAAATTACATATTTCTCTTTCTATTTTTCTGCTTATTTGAACTAGAAAATACAAGTACTCTAGAACATACAACTTCCTGGAAATTATTTTGAGAATGCATATCAAAACCTTAAAATTTTATACTTTTTAACATAGTAATTCTACTTGGACTCTGTTCCATGAAAATAATCTAGAATGTAAACAGAAACATATGCAAATATTCTTGATAGTTTTATTCATAGTGGAAAAGTTGAGAACAATCTAAACAGGAATGATTGAGAAACCTGATGGTATGCCCATGAGGGTTGGTTTCCTAAGGCTGCTGAAGTAAAGTACTACACACTGGGTGTGACTTCAAACAGCAGAACTTTTGAGCTGAGGGTGTAGCTCAGTGCTAGAGCACTTACCTGGCATCTATGAAGCCCTGGGTTTAATCCCTTACATCACAACAGCAGCAAAAAAACACAGAAATTTCTCTCACACAGTTTTAGAAGAGGTCTGAAATCAAGGTGTCAGTAATGTTGGTTCTGTCACTCTTCCAGATTCCATGATGGCCAGCAATCCTTGCCACTTCTTACGTCTTGGTTTATAGATACATAACTCCAATCTTTGCTTCTACTTCACACTGCCTTCTCCCTGTGTCTCTTTTTCTCCACATGACTGTCTTCTTATGGTATTAGGGGTCCACCCTACTCCAGTATTACCTCATCTTAACTTGACTAATCACATTCTCAATGACCCTGTTTGCAAATGAGATCAAAGTCTTACATACTAGAGTTAGGACTTCAACATATCATCTTTTGGGAATATGATTCAGCTCATCACACTATGTGATGAGCTGTTAGGAAGTGATGAGAAAAATGTGTAGGGAGAATGTTTAAGAACATAGAAATGTTCTTAATACATGGGAAAGGTAATAATTAAAATTGCATGTGTATCAGAATCTCACCTTATGCATATATATTAGTTTAGATGAAAATAAATCTTACTCTGATTATAATCCTAACACTTGAGGATGAATACTGATTTTACTTTTTGATGTTTCAAATAAAACTAAGTTAACTTAGGAAAAGTTAGAAAATGTTATATTAAAATCTGTATGGAATCTTTCATTTTAAAAAGTTATTCTTATGTATCAAGTTGTTTGGGAGATCCCTATTGTGGAAATATGCAGTGAACCAGCACACTTGCATAATTTGTAAGATCGTTAAATATTTTCTGTGCAATATATTATTGGTATGATCCTATGCCTTGAGAGTTTAAAAGAAAAGGCTTGGGTTGGGAGACTCACAGAAGCACAATTCTGACTGTACAGATGTAGGTGATTACAAGAAGAGTGAATATGTGGGCACAGTATCCAAAATATTTATGTCAATTGGCTAACATGTTGTCTTTTCAAAAGAATATACAGAAGATGGAAAGAAGAAAGTACATAGCTAGGAAGGGGCTAGGGTTCAGTCTTCTTTTAAAAGAGAATTAAAGTCTCTTTCTGTGCACAAGTTAGATGCCAATACTGATTATGTTCGTATATGAAATTGGACCACTCTCTTAACTGTTGAAGAATTGTGAATAGCAGGAAAGATGCCCTATAACCAAAGATGGAAAAAACTCTAATTTTCAAAAAAGGAGAAGCTGTATTTTGGTGAGCTTGGTGTTGATGTTGACTTTAATTCCTAGATAATTATAAGAATGACTTGTGAAGCTGAGGAAGGTAGTATTCACGATAAACCATGGAAAAACAAGCTGTGTCCACTTTCATCTTCAGTCTTTTTTAATCCTTTTATATTTATATGTTTATATATTTTATCTTTTCCTGTTTCTTTTTAAGGTCATTGAATTTATGGAAACTTTTGTATTTGCTATTAAACTACAAAGTCTACAAACTGTAAGACTTGTATTTAAGATTCAAACTCAAACACCCAGGAAGAAAACCATTGGAGAATGCTCTCTATCACTCAGGACTCTTAGCCCACAGGAAGTGGATTACTCTTTGGATATAATACCACCTTCAAAATTTTCTGTAAGTGATAATAGTATGCAGTGTTAAAAGTATTTCATATTTTTTAGAATAAGTTAATAAATAGGTTTTTGTTTGTTGGAGGATGACTTGAACACTATAGAGTAATAGAAGATCAAAAAAGTTCTGAGAAAGAAATATCATAATTTAAAAATAGTATCTCAGTAAGGGCAAAACAGTATCTGCTTGGAAGCGAGGGGTTGGGGAGAAAGGGAGGGAGCAGGGGGAAGGGGGAGTAATGACCCAATCATTGTATGCACATATAAATAAAGGAAATAAATAATAATAATAATAATAATAAATAAAATGAAATCGTATCTCAGAAATAATTGTTAAAAGGTTAACAACCGTTTTTCTTTCTCCAATCGAAAATAACCTCAGGTTACCTTTTCCTAGAACATTCTTCATTAATGTTTCATACTTTGTGAACAGTAACCCTAAATAACTTTAAATAATTTATTTTTAAAAATTATCTTGCCAGCTGATGATTTTGGAAAAACAAGAAAGAATCATAAACTCCATACTCAATCTGAGATTGCCTTGAAATAGGTTAGGAAAGTTATTTTAATCACGAGTCCAGTATATATCTGTTTACAAATCATTTAGAATGGAAGTTTTTTTATTTTTTTGGTTTTGATGTTGGAGATTGAACCCAGGGCCTCACAGATACAAAGTACATATTCTGTCACTGAGCTATATCCCAAGCCCAAAATGGAAGTTTTCATAGCCACTGTATTTTGTTTAAAAAAAAAAAAATAGGTGACTCGTGTAGTCCTAGCTACTCAGGAGGCAGAAATCAGATCAGGAGGACTGTGGTTCCAAGCCAGCCCAGGAAAATAGTAAACAAGACCCTATCTCAAAACCACCCAACCCCAAAAAGGAATGTTGGAGTGGCTCAAGTGGTAGAGCACCTTCCTAGCAAGTGTGAAGCCCTGACTTCAAACTCCAGTACCGCCAAAAAAAAAAGTGTTCCACTGATATTTGAGACCCGATATTTGCTTTTCTTAACTAGCCAGCCAAACACTGTCGTTAAAGATGTTACAGATTCCTAGTGATTGAACTATGTACTTTCTGTGTCAGGATAACATTTATAGGTAGTAATCAATTTTTTTAAGGTCGAACCTATAAATTTAAATTTAAGCCTATAAATTTTAAATTTGTATAGGATTTATATGTTACCTCTTCCAAAAATATTCAGGATGACTTGAAATATCTTTTAACCCTGACTACACATTATAATTACCTGGGAACTTTAAAAATACGCCACACCTACCCTGATAAAACTAAGATTTCTCGGAGGCTACGGAAAAATATTTGTAGTTTTCAAAAGTTTCCTAGGTGATCCGAATGTGTAGCCTGGCTTGAAAACCACCAAATGGGAAGGGAAATTAGAGATTAATATACCAGAAAATAAAGAATTACTATAATTGATTAGAAAAAGGTTGAAATTTCTTCATATTTATATCTTGCTTATGTTCTCAACTTTATTCAAACATGTAATTTTTTTATTGACATAGGGTTTCACTGTAGTCCAGACTGGCCTTGAACTCAAAATCCTCCTGCCTCAGCCTCCTGACTGTTGGGAGTACGAGTGTGTGCCACCATATCCAACTTATGATATAGGATTACTTAAGTTATTTTAAACAAAACAAAACTAGGCTCAAGCTTCCATCATTTTTTTTCATATTTTACTGTGCTTTTTTTCTCTGGTATATTATTGATCCTGAATATTTGTATGTAGGTAGGTATGAAAAACTAAATGATGAAGGCATGCTGAATTATACTGTTGCTATTAATGTATAGCAACTGTGACAGGAGTTTGTCACTGACATCATTGACACTAGTTTAGTAGACAGTATTCTGCAGCCATATTTTATAGAAGACCAAATACAGGTATCAAATGGATAATTCATATATTAAAACTCTTAAGGCTGTGTACCTCAGAAGAAAGCTCAATGTAGGTATTTTCTGGGGAACTAAGACATTATTGCCCTAGCTGCCTTGGAAAATTTGAATGAGTGACTATGGCTAGATTTCTTCCAGATTATGGCTGGATTTTTTTCTTATTTTATATGTCAGAAGTCTTCTAAACAATCTGTATATTTGCTGTATGCCAGGTGCTAGGGATGCAAAGATTGATAGCTTGAAAGAAGAGCATTTGAACTGTTCCTGACTGGGACTGGTGATTTTATGTTACCAAGTGTTGATATTTCATATTATTGACTAAGGCAAGAATAGTATGCTTTGTTTCATGTGTTGAAGAGGAAAATAGATATTTTAGTTGTGACATTGAAAGAGCCAGATTTATACACCCATGCGCATTGGCAACTATTTTATGATGAATAGCACAGCTTTAGTTGAAAGGTAACATTTTTCTCAGTAGAGTTCCTGACTTGACCTATACTAAGGTATTTACTTGAGAGCTCAAATTTCTGTGATGAATAATGTGAAAGAGACAAAGTTTGCCTGAAGAAATAGCTGACCTTTGTAGAGATTTACCTGAGGATTGACTCAGGTGACTCAGTGCTCAGTACATACTTAGAAGCCTGTGCTCTCCTTATCCCTCATGTGGATACCAGACTGAAGCACTCACACATGGCAGTTGTTGGAGAGTCGATTTCTTTCCAGAGCCAGTTCTCTGGACTCTACCATGTATCGTCCCCCTACAAGATATCGTCAAACATTGCTGGGTCATAGTTTTCTCTGACTATGCTTCACATTTCATTTTCAGCAGTTCTGGGAAGGCTAATAAAGTTTTCTTGCAAAAATGATACATTATTCAGGAGCAAAGATCATAATACCTTATACATTTCTCAGTTTTGTGCTCATTAAATGTAGTCAGTACATACCTGCTAATTGAGAGGGTTTTTAACTTTTGGGCTATTATGAGATTTAAAACTACTTTGAGCATGGCCTGGTAGCATATCTACTCTGGAGGGAAGGTAGGAAGATTGCAAGTTCAAGGCTAGCCCATGTAAAGTTGGCAAGACCCTATCTGAAAAACTAACAAAGCAAAGTTACTGGGGGTGTGGCTCAAGTGGTAGAGTTTCTACCTAATAAGTACAAAGCCTTGAGTTCAACCCCCATTACTGCCCCCCCAAAAAGAAAATAAGAACCTGCTTTGAATTGTTTTTCATGATCTGGATTAATGTCCTGGAACATAAAATTAGATTTGGCAAGTAGAAGGTGGCAAACTCATTGCTAAAGGCTGCTCTGTCTTATGAGAATGAACTCTGCAATTGCATAACCATAAGAGTTTTGTCACCATCAGGTGTTTTTATAAATGTTTAATCATGGGTACAAAATAAAAAAAAATTTTGATCATGGTTTCCATTGTGTTTTGTAAATAGTAGGTGTGGGTTTTAAGTGTGTAATTTAAATGACATGGGCAGAAACTTTAAAAAAAATTTTTTTTTGAGATAGGGTCTCACTTTGCAACCCAGGCTGGCCTCCAACTCAAGATGCTCCTACCTCCACAGAAACTTTTTTTTCTTTTGCCAGCAAAGGTTTTATTTTACATATGGCTATCGAATTAGTTCATGTGAAAAGTTACCAATCCATTCTCATTCAGATTAATCATTAAAAGTAATAAGCTCATTTATTAGAAGTATACATTTGTTACTAAAATAAGTTTTCTCATCATTTTAGACTTTTCCAAGTGAAATCAGCCTCAGCAGTTAGTTTATACTTTTTAAGCAATCCTCTTTTCATTATCTCTCTCTCGATTTCTTATGGCATGCAGTGTTATAACAGAAAATGCTCAAGCTTCAGTCAGTGGCACGCACATAGAAAGGGTGGTTTGTTTGGTGGTTGGTTGTTTGCCAGTGAGCCAATTATTGCAGAATAATGGGCAATTATCAAATACTGTGCAAACCTCTGTAAAATGTCATCAGCTGTTCTGTAATTCTACTGGAATCAGTGCTAGCAAAGACTTTTGTGTTTGCTGAGCCCTGGTAAGATCTGTAATGTTATGCTCTTGACTTATTTCTGCTCTTATTCTTCTCAACCCGTGAACAGTAATGTTCTTGTGTTAGGACAGCTTTATGTTTCTCTTTTGGTTTTTCCCTTAAAGGACATTAGGATTCACCTAAGTAGGATGTGTTGTGCTATATTTCACAAATAGTCAATTATCTTTTGCTGTTGATCAATAGTACTGAAGAGTACAGTTAATCCTCCCCACCAAGTCTGCTTCATTTTACTGTTTGCCTCCAGTTTTCTCTGACCTTTCCCTTATTGTTTACTGTCTCATCTCTTTGACTAGCTTTCTTCTTGCCAGTTTTCATTGGCTTGCTTCCATTGAGAATAGTAATTCAACTCTGAACTCATAAATCTGCCTATTGTAATAATCCTTTGCCTTCTGATTTCTAAAATTAGAAAATGTAATGATCTCATTTATAATTTTTTTTGGCATATCTTATATGTTCTTAAAAATAATTCAGTTAACTTTTTAATGCTTTTGAAAGTGTGTTCCTTTTGTTTAATTTCACTAGACATTTACTTTGTTGTTCAGTTGAATTATTTTGTTGCTGATTTCAAAGCTCAGCATGTTGGCATATCTTGTGTTTTTAGAATTGGTGCAAGTGAATATATTTAGCGTCTATGACATTTATCTTTGTAACCTTCTCATAAACGTATGGGTTTGAGTGTCAGTAGAAAGCAATGCTTTCAGTCAAGTACAGTGGCCCATACCTGTGAGAGATGGAGATTAGGAGGATTGTGTTCAAGGTCAGCCCAGGCAAAAAAGTTAACAAGACCCTGTTTCAACCAATAAGCCAGGTCTGGTGGTATACTCCTATAGTTCCAGCTTCATGAGAGACTGTAGGTAAGAGGATCATGGTCCAGGCTGGCTTGGGGAAAAATGCAAGAACCCACCTGAAAAATAACTAAATAAAAAGGACTGGAAGTGTGGCTCAAGTGGCAGGGTGCATGCCTAGCAAGTGTGAGGCATAGAGCTCAAACCTCAGTACCATTTTCACACCCCCCCCAAAAAAAAGCAGTGCTTTTGAATTTTCTAATTATTGCTCTTTATCTTTGAATTTTTAAAAATATCGTCAAATTCTACTATGAACTACTGAATGGTACTTTTTTGATGTGCAGGTGTGCCATGCAGAACTTGAATTGGGGACTTGTTTTCAAGCAGTAAATAGCAGGATTCAACTGCAGATTCTTGAAGCACAATACCTTCCAAGCTCATCAACACCTCTGACTTCCAGTAAGTACATCAGCAGTTCAAGGTGTGTCAATGCACAGAGGTTAAAATTGGATAAGAATCAAGGGGTCAGTGAATTAAGGTCTGTGCCTTTCTCTGGATGCACAACAGGGGTTTGTTATCTTTGGTTTACTAGACCTGGTTCACTTGGCCACCCTTACAGCTGGAGATTTGAGGTCAGCCCTACCTCAAGGGCTGAAAGCGGGTTAAGAGTGCATCTTTTTCCTACCAAAAAGAAGAACTGCTGGTTTCAGGCAAAAGCAGTGTATAGCCACTATAACTAGAAAGACTAAAAATAAATGAAACTGAGCATTCTACTCAAGAAGTTAGAAAAACAACAAACACAAAGAAAGTAGAGTAAGGTCTTAAAGCTAAAACTAAAGTTGGTAAACATGGAGGCAACAACAAAAAGCATAATAAAACCAAAAGTTTTCTCTTTGAAAGGACCATTTAAAAAAACAAATTTGTAGCAGGTTAGATGAAACAAAATAGAGAAAATATGAATGGTATTCTGAACAAAGAAGAGGATACACTTTCAAATTCTGAAGAGATTTGATAACATATAAGACAACCCCTGTATAACTGCACTAATTCATTTGGATATTTATATAAGGTAAATGATTTTCTAAGAAATTCACTCAAAAGAGGAAGAAATCTGAAGAGAAGAATAACCATGAAAAGATAAACAACTGCCTCTAATAAAAAGTACAAAGCCAAGATAATTTTACTGGCAGATTCTACCAAGCCTTCAAGGAACATGAATCTCCTTCTCTATATAAGCTATTCTAAAGCATGGAAAAATAATTTTGTGAGGTTAGAATATTCTTGATATCAAGACAGAGTGGATAGTGCACAAAGAAAGTAATTATAGACTGTCATCAATTGTGTAGCTATGTGGAAAATTCTAAAAAATAAACAAATAAAATCCAACTTGGAATAAGAAGTCACATATAGTTAATATGTTAACTATAGTTAATATATAGTTAATTCTGGAAACAAGGACAACAGCGGAAGTGTATAGATGCAGCATACTGCATTAACAGACAGCTTCCCTTAATCAAAACTGGTACTCAGGATTACTGCTGAGTATTGTTTTATTACTCTAACGGTCAGGTCTCAGTCCACATTCTGCTGCTGCCTCCATGCACGGAGTCCCCTCTTCCCTTTCTTGCTGCCTGCAGTCCCAATTCTATTCCCTGATGTCTCAGATTATTCAGACAGCACTTTCTGTTTGAGCTGTAGTCATCCTGTGTCAGACAGGTAAGTATGTGTAGGTGAAAAACTATATTAACCTGAATTTTTCTCAGTGCAGTTCCCAGGTTGACTCCTTTCCAATTTCTTCTTGATTTTGCTCAATCTTTAGTGGGTTTTTTTTTTAATATTTTCCCCAAGTTTATCATTGTTATCTATGGGAAGGTTAGTTCATAGAAACTATTCTATCATTGTTGGAAGCCCCACATCTCAAACCTATTTAAAGAATAGGTTTGGTTTGGTTTGGTTTGGTTTTTCTAGTTGGCATATACTTCTGGAGTTTCCAGCAAAGAATTTTACCTTTATAAACTTGTGAAATAAATACATCTAACTCTCCACACAGTGCCACTGTCTACTGTATAATCCTTTTCCACTTGTGCTCCTTTGCTGCTGATTGTTATATAGACCTGTGATTCAAGTTGATAAAGCCATTCAGACCATAAGAGGATTAAATTCATTGAGGCTGCAGTAGTTATTAGTAAAGTGTGATAAAAGTTATAAAATTCACTAGAGATGTTTTCGGTTATCAGACATTAACCTTTAAAAATTGCTTCTTTATATTTTACCTATATGATATACCTTTATGTGTACTATTTTAAGTAAGATTTTACAAATCAGAATGTCTTGTTTTGTAGGTTTTTTTGTGAAAGTGGGAATGTTTAGCTCAGGGGAGTTGATATATAAGAAGAAGACACACCTGCTGAAGGCCTCCAGCGGAAGAGTAAAATGGGGAGAAACCATGACTTTTCCACTTACACAGACTGAAAGAGAAATTGTTTTTCTCATTAAGCTTTATAGTCGAAGCTCTGTAAGAAGAAAACACTTTGTAGGCCAGGTTAGTAGGAGGTTTTATCTTGGATTTCTTGTATTCTTCTAGGCATTTAAGCAGTTGACTAGCAAAGGGAGTGCAGGATAAAATTGAATTTGAATTGAGTAAGATTCTTCGGCATCATAGGTTAAAATTCAATGTTGCCACAAAAACCAAATCTTACCACAGTTTTTTGCTTTTATACAAATTGTTGAAGTTTTTGAGCAGTCAGGCTTTATTGGTAGGACTTTCTCTGAGCTTTTCAAATTTAATAACCAAGGTCAGTTTTTCAGTACTACTGATTCATTCCTTGGTGAAAAAGGGAGCATTAAGTATTTAAATCAAATTTCTTAAGGCCTTGGGCATCACATTTACTTTATTCTGTTTCACCTTCAACAGAAGGTTGAAGCACTGTTTATATGGTGTTAACTAAGTTATGTTAGATATGAATTCCTAAAAAACATCTATTTTTAGCAGTGGTTGTGATATTACTTAAACAGCCAATACTGGTGTCTGGATTAATTTATTTAAAAGTTCCTAAAAATTTGTATAAGACTACCTAACACTGGTTTATTTGCCAATCCTATGGGAACTTGTTTCCTTGTATGTTTTCTTTCCCTACTCTGAGTAGCTTAGTGATAACTGTCCATTATCTTTTATCTTTAACTTATTTGCAATTATTTTAGCTACATTTAAATCACAAAAGTAGGGCACAGTTCAAGTGGCAAGTAGGAGGCCCTGAGTTCAAACCCAAGTACCAGCAGGAAAAAAAAAAGTTAATATTCTGGTTTCTCTTCAGACTATAGAAATCTTTCATTTTTCTTAAAAGCCCAAATATAGTATTGTTTTAAAAACTCCAACTTGACAACAAGGTATTAGTAACAGTCTATATGAAATCCTCAAAATGTGTAATGCATGTGAATTTTCAAAAATCAGTATCAACTCTGATTTACTTCTTCATATAATTTGTCAAAAATACTTATTTAATATTATAGTTTTTGTTTCTGCATTTATTCTTATATGGAAAAGAGTTTGAATTCAAGAATTCATGTAAGTAATACAATTTTTATGACCATGAGACCTCTGAAGTCAATTCAGTTAATTTTTCTATTATCATTCCTTAACTATTATGTGTGACTAGAATAGGAAATTTACTTTGAGAGGTGACTGTCAGAATAACAGTTCTGGAACAGTCTTTGCTGGTCTTCTGCTCCCTACAGCTTCTTTGGTAACCTCAGGTGTCACCATGGTGGGGGACCATATGTAGACTCAAGTTGTCCCACTCTCTTAACCAAGACACTTTAATGTTATCTGTTTTTTATATTGGGGTTCTTTGTAAGATAGTATTTGAAGGAAATTTTCTTCAGACCAAGAAAGAAAAGGAAAAAAGCTTGAAAACCAAAAACCTACTCAAATCTCTTTACTTAGAATTAGAAACTGAGTCTCAGAGAAGTTAATTCCAAGGTAACAGCATTTGTTAGTGTTAGAGCCAAAGTAATGATTCAGATTTTTGATTCCTTGTCCATGGAGGCAACTCCATGATATGTAACCATTGTGATGTCTTAACATTTGTGTAATACTATAGTTTTCCCAAGTTCATTCACATATATTATCTAAACTTATATAAGTAATAGATACCATGAAATTATTTGTAATCAAGAATGACTTTATTAGTTTTCGATTAAGATTACAGTTGTATTTAATATAAAAGGTGCTTAAAATGCACATTCCTTTCTAGTTGAAGTCATTATTGGCCTCAATCTTTACAAAAAATTTTTTGGGTTTTTTTTTTTTTTACAAAAATGTTTTTAAGTGATCAGGATCAATTATAAATTGAGATTAGATAAGTCTTAGATTAATTGAATAAGAAAGGATACTCACAACTGTTTTGGAAGAAATGATTTTGAAATATCTCACTTTGAATTCCTTTTTTTTTTTTCTGACAGTGCTGGAGTTTGAACTCAGGGCCTCACGCTTACTGGGCAGGCTCTCTACCACTTGAGCCACTCTGCCAGCTTTGAGCCCAAGCTAGGGTCTCAAGAACTATTTGCCCAGGTTGGCTTTGAACAGCTATCTTCCTGATCTTTGCCTCCTACGTAGCAGGGATTACAGGTGTTGAGCTGCCAGCACCCAGCTTTACCAATCATATAAAACGCTTCAGAATAACTAGCACGTTAAGTGTTTTAATATTCAAGTGTCAAATGATGAAATCAAACTAACTTTTAGAAAAGTGAAAGATGTTTACTTAAAAATATGTAAACCAAACTTTCAAATATCTCTTATAGATAAGAATAATTAACTGTTTGAACTCAGTTATCATTATTATGCAAAGTTAAATGATTGTACTTTTTCTTTACAGATCTGGATAAGTGAAGACAGTAATAACATTGAAGCAGTAAACCAATGGAAAGAGACAATTGCAAATCCAGAAAAGGTTGTTATCAAGTGGCATAAATTAAATCCATCTTGAAAACTTCACACATCCATCTGGTGAAGAGACAACTTGACATTCTTTTAGGAGACTTATGCTTTCAGTTTTTTTAAAATAGTGATGAATTTTATCAGATATCCAACATGAAGAAAGTACTTAAAACAGTGCCAAAACAAGAAATAAAATAAAAAGGTAGTATTATTAGGACCACTAAATACATTACAAAGTCTATAAAAATATCAACCATAGATAGGCATTTCTAAATTGTTTTGCTTTTGCTTTTTAAGTCTTACTTAGATGTTAAAGCATAGTATATCAAGTCCCTGTTAGAACTGTTAGACATTTAGAAGACTTTACCACTCTTCTAGTTCTAGGCATTATTGATTAGATCTTGCTTCTATTTACATCTTCCCACATATTTTCTCTCAGCAAAAATGAACTGAACCATTTCGGCTGGTTTCTACATTTTGGGAAAGTTTGTGCTCTGTGTTTATAATTTCTCACCCATAAGACATTATATTGCCATTTCATAAGATAATTCTTTCCAAACAATTTCAGAAATAGAAAATTTCATTTTAGCAAGAATAAATGAAATTTAATTAAGACCCAAAATACACACATTTTGATATTTCCTTTCCTTAAATATTTTGCTCTTTGTTTTATTTGAGTTGAAATAAGAGCATCATACATGGTCCATCTTAATTACAGAATTAAATGAATTTAAATAGCAAATTCAGTATTTTATGATAATTTCTTTGTTTTTAGGTTTTTAAAATACAAATTAATATTCTATAATCCATAATAGTAGAGTATTTTCCCATTTTGTAATAGCTACCTGATAATGTTATATAGCAAATAAATATTTTTAATTGCAGGCTCCTTTCAGGAACTTACTAGAACTCAGTGTTTGGGGTAAGTTCAGCTTATTTGGCCACATGAGCTTTGGCCAAAAAGAACATCTTTGGAGAAAAGCAAAGAACATTATTTCTAACCCTGGAAAATCTGTCTTTGTTTTTGCTAGTAAGAAGACCACATGCTCTGTGTTCTTGGTCTTCTATTTTTCTTTCTTCCTTTGTACTGCACATGTCAAGAGATAGATGAAAATATTTCAGGCCAAAAGTATATTTACCTTGCTATAACCTAAGCATTTCTTTTTCATTTCAGTTCTTATGTTTTGTGTATCTCATTATAGTCTTCCAAAATAAACGGTTCTCTAGCGATCATCTCCTCAAACTACAAAATGTACATATTGTACAACCCCTTTGCTTCTACTGCTTAGATGTTTATAGTACCTGTGGTACTGACAAGTATTCTCTGCTACTGTGAGTTTTGAAATAGTATTTTTGGATTTGTGAAAAATGGCATACTTGTCAGTACTCACATGACAAAATTGAAGGCAAGGTACAGAGATCACCTAGATACTCTCCACAGGCACAGCCTCCTGTACTGTCACCTCCTGTACCACAGTGTACAGTTGTCACAACTAATGAGCCTACACTGACAGGTCATTACTCCCCAGAGTCTGTACTTACATTAGACATCCCTCTTGGTGTGGTACATCCTACGAGTTTTGACACGTGTCTAATGGCATGTATCTACCATTATAATATCACTTCAAGTAGTTTCATTGTCCTAAAAATCCTCTAAAAATGCAACTGTTTTAGTAGTACCAAAGAAGTAAGTGTATTTGTTGCCTTTTAGATAATAAATAACAGGCTTTATTATTTTTTAAAAACATGAATTTTATTTTAGCACTTTTCTATGTTCTATTAATGCTTTCAATTCCTAAACTTGGTCGTGTATTTAACTCAATTTTTAGTTATTTAATTCTCAGTATTTTAAAAATACTTGCATAATATGTAATTTGAGGGAAGCCCTGCCTTCTTGGTTTCTTAGAATCCTAGATAAATTGATAAAACAAAAACCTTTCATTTGAAAGACCTTTTAGGTAGAGAACTATTGATAGAGAGATTCCAGATGTTTTCATTAGTGTTTAACTAAGCCTTTTTGAGGAGAAGATGTACTGAATATCACTAAAATGTATGCTCATGTTTCCAGGAAGCTTTCGTGTGGAAATACAAATATAAGCACACTTCTGTTAATAGGCACTCATGCTGTAAGAAAAACAATAGGAACTAGTAATAAAAGCTGAGATACTATGCAAGAATCATTTCCCTCCATGTTTGCTTAGGCTTTTTTTGACCTTTACCTGTAATAAGGAATGGGGAACCAAAATGACACTGGGTGACCAAAGAAAACCATGGGAGCTTCACACTGATAGCCGACAGTTTGCAAAGTGCTGATCTCTAACAGCGTATTTACTTAAAAGCTTAAAAGATTAATACAACTAAATTGCTACAACTTACGTCAAAACACAGCATCACAACTTGGCTTTCATTTAGTTTCACATGATTTTGTAAGTGGGAATCATTAAGAAATGGCCCAACTCTTTTCAGACTGGTCAGAAGAAACCAATGAGATTTTGTACAAATTGTGGTCTAAAAAGAACCTAAACTGAATATCTATTTGAATATAGTATGGAAATTTCTCTGATACCAATGTACTCAGCAGTCAGGTGGAAGCTATGTTTCTCAGCAAAACTTTCCACTGTTTGTATAATCAAATATTTGCTTATGTATGAAAGGACGTCAGAAATTTGCAATAAATTTTAACTTTTCTTATCATGGTAGTAATGGATATTTCAAAAATATACATCTATGTTCAGTATTTATAAAATGTGTTTAGTGTTTCCTCTAGAAATACTGAGAAAAGTACCAGATAAAATGTTTCTGTCTCTGTTGGTTATAAGGACACTTTATAATGTTCTCTTGGTGCATAGCCTATCATTCTTGTTCAAAATTAAATTTCAAATACTTGCAGTTTTAGCTGAAACACCAAGTTGAAAGAATTATGAAAATGGGCTCATATAAGTAAGTATCATGTCCATTTTGAAACACGGATTTTAAAAAATAAGAACTTAATGTCATCCTCTAAAACTGGATTTTATTAAATTTCTGAAGATGAATGCTACCTGCATTTTTAGTAATTTCCTAGTAGAAGTTTTCTTTAACTTGGTCTCTCATTCCACCTGGTCTTCATGTCTGCTTGGTAGAAAACAATCCCAACATATCCAGATAACTACTAAGAATTTAAAATGTAATTAACTATGAATAGGAGGGTTGGTTTCTCAGCACAGCATCTGTGAGGTCACTTAGGCTTCAGGCCTCTCTGGTCTATTTCTCTCTTTTAAAAAATTCCTTATCTCCCACCTGCTCTGTCCTCAGCCTTTTCCTTTCAGTCTTCCCTCCTCGCCACGCCACTGAAACTCATGAAGTGTTATCAAATGCCTTTCAGCTATTTTTTTCTTTATTACCCATCAACTTGTTGAATAATTGATCTCTCCTGCCTTGAAACTCTCTTCCCTTAGCTTTCATGACATTATGCTCTGCTTATTTTCTTATCACCTTTCTAGCCCATCCTTTTCTTCTCTGGTGATTCATCTTCATGCACCTGACTTTCAAAAATTGGGAGTTCTTCAAGATCAGCTCTAGGCCATCTTCTTACTCTACACTATCTCTGGACAACCTCATCCATTTCCATGGTTTCAGATGCTATCTATGGGCTAAGGGCTGTCAAATTTTTATCTCTACCCAAATCTTGCAGTGAGGTCCACTATCATATAGCTAATGTGGACATCTTTTCTTGAACATGTTGCATTCCTTCCACAAATCTGGTCTTCAATTGTCCCCATCTGGGTAAATGGTACGGTCATCTACCTGGTTGCTCATCCCAGAAACCTAGGAGTCACCTTGTCAATGAAAAACTTTCTCTATTCTCAACACTTCTGACACCAAATGATGGGTTTTCCACCCCAAGCAATTCTTCACAACCAATTGATTGTCCTACGATTTAACTCAATTCTGACATTACCCCAAATTAGCACATATCCCCATGGGGTCAGGGACTCAGTTTCACAAGACTAATTCCCCACTTCCTATTACTAATCACTAGTAGTGGAGTCCCAGCTTACCCACAACATTCATCTGGTTGGCTACAGACTGCAGCTTCTCATGCCCCTCTTCAAATTCAGTAGTTTGCTGGCAATGGTTCACAGAACCCAGGGAAACATTTTATATGCATGCCAGTTTATTAGAGAGGGTATGATTTAGGAATAGTCACGTGGAAGAAGTACAAGGGAAGAGTGTGGAACATTGTATAGCTCTTTTGGGAACACTTGGCTATGTTCACCAACCCAGAAGCTCTCTGAAACCCAGTCTGGGCTTTTGTGAAGGTTTACTATGAAGGCATGATTGATTAAATCATTGGCTGTTGGTGACTGGACTTGCTCCTCTCCCTTCCGTATTGGTCAGGAGATGTAACTGAAGTTCCAGCCCTCTAAATCACATGGTTGGTTCCCCAGGCAACCAGCCCCACTCCCATTTAAGAGATTTCCAAAAGTCACCTCACTAACATAAACTCAGGTGAGATTGAAAGGTACTTATTTTATGAATAACAAACTAGGACCTGAATCACCTTGAAGCTAAGCTGCTTCAGGAGCCAGAGAGACAAGAGCCAAATATAACTAAAGACTTTGCTATCCCTCTTATTACTTATGAAATTTCAAGTTTAGGAGTTCTGAACCACTAACTTGGGACAAGACCATGTATATCATTTCTTGTATCAGTGTCACACAATGGAACTCCTCCCTCTCTCTTCCAGTACTCTATTTAGAAATACACATCATTAACAGATTTTGAATCCACGCACTTCTCGATCTACACTGTAACTTCCCTGGTCAAAGGAATATCATCTCCCATCTGGATACTGTACTTTCCCCATAATTGTTTGTTCTTCCTCCCTACAGTCCATTCACCCAGCAACCAATGATATTTTTAAAAATGCAAATCTGATCATCACATCTTAGTTCCCATTGACTTATATTAACTTCAAAATCCTTAACGATGTCTACAAGGCCCTTGTCGGGTGAGAAAACTTCTACCCTCTTAGTTTCAATGAAACTAACAAATGGTAGAAAAGATAATTTTTACTTATATAAAAACAGGTATTCATAAAAAAGTGAAACTCCAGGTAATTAGACTTAGGCGTTTGTAGACCTTTTTAATAAAGGAAATGGAGGCTGAGCTTTAAGGGATGTTACACTGTGGAGCAGTCACTAGGAAATAGTAACTAATGGAATAGAAGTTAAGTGTGATTTCAGTTTGGTCTGTTTGTACAAACTCATATTGATGTCCACTCTCCACCTCCAGTGATAATAGTCAGTCCTTTTCCTGGTGGGGAAGGATAGAAGGAACACC